CCGCCCCCCCTTGCTGGCTCTGCCCCGGGCCGGGGCAGATGGAGCCGCTGGCCACCCTGGGGTGGGGTGGGGAAGCGGTGGCTGCTGTTATTTAATTCCCGGCTACAATAAATATCGATGCTGACCCCTGCCTCTCCTGATGTGAAGTGACTGCTGGGGGCCAGCCCTGCACAGCCCTGAGGCTGCGGGGGACAAGCAGGGAGCCCTCCCTGGGCTAGGGGATGGCAGCAGCACCCCTGCATGCCCTTGGGCTGAGAACGTCTTCAGCTCAGCTCACCCCACAGAGCCTTCGCGCCTCAGCGCTGCTCGTGGCCGCCGTTGTGTTAAAGCCCAGCCACAGGCTTTGGCCTTCGTTTTTGCCACGATGCAGCAAAGTGCCCCCTCAGAAGGGTGGCCAAAGCAGGCTGGGCAGGGGAGCCCGGTGCTGTGGGTGAGCGGACGGCCGCAGACAGCCGCACGCTGCCTGGACCCTGCCGGACCGGCCCAGACTGTCCTCCCCTATGGTTTCGGGTAAGTTGCTGGGTTGTAGGGGAGTCACCAACACCAGCCGTGTCCTGGCGCTGCATGAGACCAGCTCATGCCTGCCCCACCGCCTGCCCAGCCTCCTGTACCCACCTCCCCGTCCCTGCATCCAACACGTCCCTGCCTGAACCCTCTCTCCTCTCTTGCAAAGTAGAAGAAGATCATGATCATGATCTGCTGCATTATTCTCGCCATCATCCTGGCTGCCAGCATTGGGAGCATCTTCGCCTGAGACCCCACCTGCCCTCCAGGTGACCTGGCGCCTCAGGGGATGGTGGTGGTCGGGGTCCCCTGAACCCTCCTTGGGCTTGGGCCTCTCCTTTCTGGGGTTTAGCAGGGCTTGGGCTGGCAGAATTTGTCCCCCTCGGACTTGCCAGCGGGTCCCTAAGGAGCTGGCACAGACCTGGGCTGTCAGGGAGGAGGGGGATGGGGACCCCTGCAGTGGTGGGAGCCACGTCTCCGTCCTCAGCGGTTCCTCTTCCTCCTCCTCTGGTTTGCAGATGGCCTTTCCCTCTCCTGCCCTGCCATCCGGATGATCCTGCCTGTGCTCATCTCCTCCAGCTCGAGTTTGTCTGCGGTGATGTCTCTGTATAGCCAGCTGTCCGGATGTATGGCCACCCGCACCGGAGCCCTCCTTCGCAATAAAGAGATCAGCTACATTGCTGCTCGGAGGTGCTGAGTCCAGCACAGGGGTGCCAACAGCGGGGGCCCTGATTTAGGGAGTCAACACCAAGGATGTCCCTGGCCTCCTCTTCTGAATTTGGGGTCTCCAAACAACACAGCAGCAAGTACAAGAAGTTATGGGGGGAGATTTATTAAGGCAGCCCAGCCCCCCCCTGCGCGTTACACCCTGTGTTTCAGGAAGAACTTGCCCCAGTAGCGTCCCTTGAACCTCAGGTCGTAGGGGCTGAGGTACTTGCGCATCCCCAGCATGTTGGCTGTGATGATGCGCTCGAAGGTCCAGGGGTTCTGGTTGTTGAGCTGCTTCTCCTCCTCCTCCTTCTGCATGCGCTGGAGCGTGTCGCGGCTGACGGCCACCGCAGGGAAGGGCAGCTTCCTGGCCACCTGCGCGAGGCCGCGTTTTCCCT